CTGAGTTATAATTTTGGTTTATGAAAACACTAAGAGAGCGACGGTCCATAGCACATAACCCGTCTTCCATCTGCAGGCTCTAAGTCTGGCCTTACTTGAACACAGTCTTGGTATCTGCCGCTTCCATCACACCTCATGCTCTCTAGCCCTCAGCTCTTCCTTCTCCTGAACCAGCTAGCAATGTACGCATCGCTACTGTGCTTCTGCCCTTTCTGACCTGGCACCTCCAACTTGAGAATCCCTGTGCCTCCGTTTCACCACGCACTCACAGGTGGTCAGTCCTAGACTCACAACCATCAGAGCCTACTCTGAACCAGTATGGCTGAAGTATTCCCGGGCCTGTCTGCTTGTCAATGGCCCTGACACACTTTCCTCTATCAAGTCTTCCAAAGCAGTCACCTTAGACTGCTGCTGCCTTCTAAAGTTTCCAATAACACTCAGCCTTCTTGAACATTTACCATTTGCTAGGAAGATGAGGGTCTCTCTACCCAGGTACGACCTATATCCCTCCACTGTGCTGAAATTTTTTATGCTTTTATTCTCTCATAACTGGTATCAAACTCAGTATCTTTCAACTCTTCTACTTCAACTTTTGTCTTCTCTCTCTTTGAGGACCCTGAGTCGGTCATCTATACACTTTTATGATCTCTTTTGCTCTGCCTTTTTAGCATTTGTAACAACAATGAAAACACATGTCTAAGCTTTCTTCTTTCATGATGAGACCACTAGAACAGGGCCACGCTCACAGCCCCTCTCACACCCCCGCAGCTCCTCCCCTCCCAGTCTCCACCCCCAGAAACACTCTCACGCCTTCCCGATCACCAAGTCCAGCCGCTGCTCCTGGCTCACATCCTTCCTGACTCCTCCGTGGCTCTTCCGACTCCACACAATCAAAACTGAGCTTAGCATTTCTCCTCTTCTCCCTCCCCGCCATTGCTGACCTTCTTCATGTCTTCCAGTGAAATCAAAACCTTCCTGTCATCATTGGCCCAACTCAATTATTAAATTCCCTTCCTTCCACCAGTGTTATGTCTGGATCACTCATCTCCTCCCTTTCCAAGACAGACTGTGTCTTCTCTCAACACAAGTCAACACAATGCACCAGTTTCCTAGCTTCTTTTTGTTAAAGTAGCCTCCGACCGTCTAACAAAAACAAACAAAAAATTCAAATTTTTTGTCTTAAGAAACAAAAACTGGCTCTAGCCTATAACTTTTCTCTTTCATTTCATATATTTCAGATTTTCTGTGAACTCTGGGAGAATTCACTGTCCTCAGAAAACACGCTGCACTTTCTAACCAATTGCCTAAATCAGGCCAGCCCACTCATTCATAATGTTCAACATGGACTTTACTTACTGAAATCCTATTATTGCTTGCAGGACTTGTAAAGATGCCATCTTTTTGTGTCTCTTGTTAGCTGCAGATTATTTATTCCTTCTTTGAGCTTTCATAGTTTCACAATGTGCTCATCTGCTTCTTTCTTATTCTTATTATATTTTTTATCCTATAGTTACTATGAACTTACCTTATTGTTCTTATCAGATTATAAATTATTGAAGACAGTGATGATGGTGATAATAATAATAACTCTAATAATAATCTCCACAATAACAACTCCTTCCATATCCCAGATCTTTGCAAAATGCTTAGCTTCATGACCTAAGCAACACTATGAGGAGCATCTCCACTTTTAGATGTAATGATTAAGTAACGTGCCCAGGGCCCACAGCTACAATGTGGCAGGGCCTAGACACTGATTTTAGGCTTGTCTGATTTCTAAAGCCATGTCCTTACCTACCGTGTGGAGTATCTCACCATTGACAGATTGACAGAGAGCCACCAAATAAAGCATGTCCCTTGTAAGTCCTAACAGGTAGGGCAGTTTACCTACCCGTGTTCCCCAGAGTTGCTGAGCCCATTTGGTCAGTATGTACATCTACAGGGAGAAGAAACAGCTCGGGCCCTAACTTTTAAAGGATGAAAACAGGATAACGTTTTGTAGCCCATAATTAAACAATATAAAATGCAAAGTAAAAGATCTAATTCACCTGGATTAAGTAATGGCCTAACTTTGTCTCTTTTCTTGGAACCATCAAGGTCAGCAAGGCAATGAATCAAGGCCATTCTAAAAGGCTTACTTAGATAATTTAAACCACATTTAGACAGAGCCTCCAATAATTCTAGTTTCTGAGGCTCTGACATCAGCCTTGTGAAAACATGATAATTGTACTCTGCTGACAGAATCAGAATAAATTTAAATTTAGTGTCCTACTTTACATATGAACAGGCAAAACAGAACATGGCACATATAGATATCAATGTAAAGAAAGTAGTGCTTGTAGCTTTCTGTATCCAAGCAACCAAGGGCCATGATCCTTTGAGAGGAATGTCCTTATACAGCCCAAATCCCATCACAACAAATACCGTTACAACAGAGATGTCCATATAACAAAAACCTTTCAAGCTTTGGCCGACAGCCCATACAGTTCAAGCAATATTTGATGTGAGACTTGGAGTTCACAGTAATGGGAATTGACCTACATTTCCAAAGGTAAGATTTGCATGATTTCACTAACTCCTTCTCTATGATACCATGGGCCAGAGTGATGCACAATCCAAGTCCATGACACTGAGAACCAAACACAAACACACAACCAAAACCACCCTGATCTTAAAGGGCGAAATCCTTTCCTTTGACTTGGGATCTCTTAGATTAAGAGACGGGCTCTGGCCCGAGTCTGGAAATGCAACAGATCAGAGCTGATTCTGGCTGTCGTCTCCCCGAGTGGCAAAATGGTATGGTACACGAAAACAGAGGGACTGTGGTCAAGTCTCCCTCTCCCCCTTCCTAGGTGGGTAAGCCATGTTTAGCTATATTTCTTCTCTTTTGAGCCTTACTTTTCTCATCTGTAAAGTGTGACTAATACCACACATGTTAAGGATTTTTGTAAAAACTCTAGGAGCATATATAAAACCCCTAACGGAGTGCCTGATACTTAGCATGTGCTCAAAGTAGTTAGTTCCCTCATCGGGCTTCTCTTCCTCTCCAAGACCCTGAGCTTCTGCCCGCTATTTTCACGAAACCAGTTAGAAGACCTAGTAAGCGGAAGTTGGCAGAATATATAGTCTCGTATGGAGTCGGGGAAAGTGTTGCTCCAGTGAATATCCAGGAAGTGAAAGAAAATGATAAAATGACTAGGCCATGCACAAGTATTTATTTGACTATGAAAAATACCTTTTGGCCCAGAGAAGACACATGTATTCAAAAGTTAAAATGTAGATGACTAGATATCAGAATAAATGAGCTCTGCTTATCTTGTCAGAGGTCATTTTGAAAATGCTGATAACCCAAAATTCGGTCACATTTTCCTGGTCAAGGACAAAATGTAGTTGCTACTCTGGCCTAGTTTTCTTTTAGGTGCTATTCTAAGTGGTAGGAGGGCCCTTATTTTGGTGATTCCTTAGCAGTCCATACTTTATATTCTTCTCAGTAGGACACTGTGAAAATATTAAAACCAACTCTAGTTTCTCCAGTTGGGAAATATGTAACTAAACAGCTTCTAAAAATATTCACTAATGGTTCTCAATATTACTCTAATTTATGAGGTTTTTAAATTCTAATAATTTTTAGATGCTTGATTTTTTTGTTTTCCAAATTACAGATCAATCAAGTCTGTGATGACAAAAATTCTATTGCTTTTTGAAAACAACTTTGTTACATGAAATGTTTTGGGAGAGTAAACTTGAGTCTTACAATCTGACAGTGTGCTTACCTTTCTAAAATGAAGATTGGCTAGGGGCTTTAAAAGTCCTTAAAAAGCTTCCTAAGCCTTACTAGACCTTGGCAGCTACTGGGAACAAGAGATAGCCCCACATTCCTCAGAGTCACAGAATGTGAGTCTTTTTCTTAGCTATATCCTTTTACCTTGTCACTAACCAAAAGGCTCAGTGAAAATTACTGTGCTGGTATTCATGTGCTTAGTTTAAGTGTATATGCAAGCCAAACAACGGGTTTCTTATATGATGTACAACATAAAAATAAAATAACTGATTGGACAGAAATACCCAGGCAGAGAGAAAAAAAGATCCACAGAAAGACAGACAAGCTCTGAGGAGAGAGATCAAGAGATCAACAACAGAGAAATAACAAAATTATTAAGGTGAGAAGGTTAAAATAGTGATAGAGACCTAGTGGCAGCAGCGGAGGAGATACTTGAAATTCAGCCTGCACAAAGCTCCCGAAATAGGGCTGAAATGCACAGCAGCGTCAACCTGGTACAATGGCTCCTGGCCTCCCTTCAACTTCCACCCCATCATCTTAAAATGGAGGCAGTAACCACCACCAGCTCACACACTTTAATCTTGCCGCTGACAAGGGCGTAACCCTCAAGCATCTTTGAAGGTGTGATAACTACCTCAAGCCACTGGGGCTCCACTGCCCGCTCCAAAAGACACACCTCACCTCACGACCCCACCTAGCCCCCAAGGTTGGAGGTCCCTCCCAGAAGTGAAGCCTGCCTTTCTCACTCCAGTGGCACCATACTAACAGTTCTGAAACAATAAAAGACCACTGTAATTACACGAGAAATTGTGAGACGCTAGCGCGGAAAGAGTTAGCTCCTGAAATGCAAGGCTGAGCCACGCTGTTCCTCAGAGCAGCAGCCACCCCACCCAAGAGAAGCCAGCGCTGCTAGAAAGTGGTCTCACGGGCGCCATGAGGCACCTGGACAGAGGCTCACATCCCGGCCCCCTCTCCCTCTCCAGTCCCAAGTGTCCCAGCGGGCGGGAGCGCAGGGAGGAGCCTGCAGGAGCAGCCGGAGCACGAGGGCTGCCAGCACCAGCTGCTCCCAGCCCGGCCTCCTCCCTCTCCGCCGCCCGCCCTCCCTCCCACAGGCTGAGGGCTCCGGGTGGCCCCGGTCAGCTCAGTGATGCTCACAACACCCACCAAGCCCGCCTGGACACCTGAGCGGCCCCCGCCCCACGAGTCCCGCACGCTGTACCTTTACTCTGGGGAGGGTTCTGACTCCGGTCCCGCAGGACGTTGATCTGGTAGACGGCTCCATAAGGCTCAAAAAGTTCTTTCAGCTCCTTCTCCGACCATGACCGGGGGATCTGTCCGACAAACATCTTAATGGCATCTGGGTCTGGTTGGTCTGAGTGATCCAAAGCTCCGTTCATCTTGCTGGCTGTGCCGTTACTGTCAAAAACGGAACCAGGAGCCAGAGTTAGGGCTGCAGCGTGAGGGACAGGAAGAAAAAAAATTGTGGGGGGGTGGGGGGGTGGGGAGGCGGAAGGACGAGGAAGAGGAGCACAGGGGCAAGTGCCTAATGGATCGCAGAAATTTGATGAACTAAAACAAAGCACAGGCACCATCAGGCTGTTCCTCAGCGGCAAGCCAGGCGTTCACTGCACGCTGCCGTGGAGCACCGCCGCCGGAGCGCAGGGCAGCGCCGGGCTGCCTGTCACCCGGGGCGTGGACATCTCGGAAACCGGCTCGGGAGGCAGATGCAAGTTAAGTGCTGGTCTCAGGCTGCACGGCTGCCATCAACGCATCGACAGCAGTACCAGCCCTGCGCTGGCTATCTTGGGAAAGAAAGGCAGGGCTGGATCTCCGCTGGATCTCCCCCACACACTCCCCGCCCTTTTTTGGAGGTTTTTGGAAGAGAGGGGAGAGGTGGTAATAATAAAGTCACACGGAAAGAAAACGAAGCACTTGGCAGTCGGTCAGATGACTAATGCAAGACGCTGGTGATGCATTTGCAGAGGGTGCGAGGCTTCCATGTGTGCATCAAATTAGTACGTTGCTGCTCACAATGGAAAGCGCTCCAGCTATGCAGCTCTCTGCAGCTGATTGGCTGCCTACACTGGAAAAAAGGCCCGAGCTGAGAGGGAGGGTCCTCTCTAAAAAGCACATTGTTTATGGGACCCAGGCACAAAGGGTTTAATTCAGAGAGGCAAAAGGGATCTCAGAATTGCCTGCTTTGTGCTTGGGAAAAAAAAAAAAAAAGCAGCCCCAGAAAGTTGAGTTCCCACTAAAGGACACAGAATATTTCAAATCTTTCACACTCCATAAATTGCTCTCTGTATATCTGACTTCCAGATGTTGCACTTAAGCTCTAAACAATCGCACGTTTGGGAGAGAAAAAAGAAAGTCTGCCTTTTCTTCGCCTCGCTTCAGTAAATATTTGAGGTTGATACAAAGAACAAAACCGTAAGCTTCACGTATCTGTCTTCCTAAGGTTGTTTCCCAAACTCCCACTTGCAAGAGAATGCTTGTTTGAGCTTGCAATTCTGGTCACCAGCATGTAAGACATCCCTCTTTGACTTGCAGTTCCTGCCCATTTAGGCAGAGTAAATAGCAAAGCAAACCACATCTCCTTTTCTTCCTGTGCCTGCCCTCCCCTCTACCTCCTCTGGTGGTGAGAGGGCGGCCTCTGAGCAGCTCTCCAGTGCAGCACCGTGCTCCTGGGTTCGCTGCTCTGCCTGTGAAGACACAAGGCACCTAAACAAGTGCAAAGCTGGCAGACAGTCCTGACAGAGCCTTGTCCAGAACGCCCCCGGCCCAGGAGCAAAATGGTCAGAAAGGGGACACACTGACTGAAGCTAAACTGCAACTGGCAGGTGTGATTTCACTGGAGCCTTGGGGAACCGGTAAAAAGGTATTCAAAGATCGAAGCAGAATTCCTTATTAGGTTATAACAAACAAAAAAGGGCACTTTGAATCAGGAGCCCTTGAGAAAGAAGAAACAAACAGATAACACCAATGAAAAACCAAACACATGTGCAGAGGAGAAATCCTCGATTAGATTTAATCCACAGAGGAAAATGATGCCCAATACTCTCCATTAGGTCTTGGCTTCCATTGCTATTTCTTCTCCCCCACCCACCCCATTTTATCACCCACTTTATTTTCTTATCCTTGAGCTAAATAATCAGATTGTCTAACTTGAAGCATTTTCAGAGCTTCCTCTAATCAACCTTATTGTTATAAAAATGTTCTGCTGAATAAAATATTGAGTACAAAATCTTCTTTCAACAATTTAGGTGTAATGTAATGTTTGTTTATAGTCGAGCTAGATCGTTTATCTTGTTCTCATGCACCTATACTTTTTTCCAGTCACTCTTTGAGAATTCAACAAACACTTTAACCCTGTGGAGCTGTGATTACAGAGGGTGGAGGTGGCAGAAACTCATGCAGTACAGACTGCAGTGTTCCGAGCACACTGAGAACTGAGAGTGTGGCAAGACTTATTTCTGGGACAGGAAGGACTCGTGGTTATCGCTACTGACAACCAGCAGAAGGCAAAGAAGACAGTATTGCCACAGGTCTCAGCTAACAGAAAACGGAAGTTCAAAAACCGACGTTATTGCATGTTGTCTGTAATTACCAGGATTACTGCAATGGAAGACTTCCATCTAGCTCAGGCTGGCCTTGAACTCGCTATGCAGTGCAGACTGGCCTGGAACTCAAGGCGATCCTGTAGAGGAGGACTTTAAAATGATACTTATTCTACTACTGAAACTCTGAAGCCGAGAGCAAGCATCCCTCCATGTTTCTACACAGAAGAGGCCTTTTTTAGCTTCTGAGGAAACACAAACGCACAGAGAGCATACAGGAAGGAAAGCTGAGAAGGGAGCTCAGGCCCCATACCTCTGGTCTCTCTGCAGCAAGCACTGTCTGTATAACCCTCTCAATCAGCTGTCCTTCATGCATGCACAAGGCCTCTTATCCTGAGCCAGTGGTACACAGCAGTGAAGGTCTCTGAATGCTGCACCACCGTGCCCTAACTATTCTACTCTAGACCTTAACCCTTCATCTGTAACAGGGAAATAACAGACTCTACCTCAGATTCACATGCTTAGTGTAAGATGGGGCACAAAATTAAGTGTTCTAATTAGTTAATTCCAAAATTAATACCTTCTTTGCATGTGATGCATTTGAAATGACTGACCACCACAAATCCATTTTTCAATCCATTTTTTTATGTATACACCCAAACAAAATTTGCACCCTAAGTAATAATAATATGTATCTCTTATATACCAGCTACTGTGCTACACACTGGCTTATTAAACTCTGGGTATCCTCATACGACCCTATAGGAAGGTAGCAGTTTTCAGATAGCAACATGTAAAAATAAGTTCCTTCCCTAAGGTTACCAGCTGATAAATTGTAGCACTAGACCCCAAAGTACAAAAGATTTCTAATTTGCCATGTGGCCAAGTACTCTACCTAGGGTAGTCTGGTTGACAGTGAACAGTTCATGGCAAACCAGTCCAAACTCAAAGCCAAGAGCAAGGCCTACCGGGTCCCTGGAATCATTCTGCCGAACAAAAGGCAGCCCTGAGAGAAACATACACGTGTACCCTTTCTCTTTGGAGAGAAAGATGGTGTTAAGTGCTCAATTTATGGAGTCCTTTATGGCTACTTCAAAACCCACATTTTAAAAAATCATCACATAAAGGCGTTTTCTTTCCACAGATTCCTTTCTTCCATTCCCACAGTCACATAAATGGGCACTGTCATCCATCCCTATGTCCTTTCCTGCTTGCCAATTTGCAAATAACATTCCAAAGAGCTGCATCACGTGTTAAGGGGAGAACAATCCCTTAAATAAATACAACCATGTCTAGTTGTTGTGTAAATCTAAAACACCAACACCACACCTTCCCAACCAAAGGTTTGTTATGTGGAAAAGTGAGTATGTCCCACTCACTGCCATTATGACTGAGTCCCACCCCAAATCCTCGCAGTACACTACCAGTTCAGTTACTTTCCCTGGAATCCAGCCCAGCTCCTCCCCCCGGGACTCCCGGCTTCCTAGCTGATACTCATCTCTAGTGGAGGCCAACTAACTTTTTTTTCCTTTTGTCTTCATGGGGATGTAGGTACAGAAATGTTTAGACAACACCAAAATTATTTTTCTCAAATCAAAACTTTGTGGGGCTGCACACTCAATGTGCTCTTCATGGAGAAGTAATTGTGGGAACAGCCACCCAAATCTCAGCAAGACCCTCAGCAAGACCTCTATTTAAGAGAATTTTATTGGCTTAGAACATTAGGCTAACTCTGCTCACTTCCTAGCTGTCCTCGGCACCCAGTGCAGTGCCTTTCACAGCACAAAAATTCAGAGTCAGATTCAAACTGTATTTATCGAGGGCCTTCTCTTTGCCAGAAAACTTTGCCAAGCACTCAACATACAATCTCATTAGAGCTCCAGTTGGAACCGTCTTGCTTTTGGAGATGAAACAACTAAGTCACAGAGGTAGTGCGCCTTTCCGGTGTCACACCCTTGAGGAAACAGGACTTTGGAAGGCGAATGCAGTGCGACTTCAAGGCCAGCTGCCACGCCTTACTATTCCACAAGCTGGGTTTCCATGGACTCTATGCTCATTTATGGCCTTGGTCACAGGCAAATACATCTCTTCTCGAACCTCGCCTGCAAATTCCAGAAGGATCCTGAGTGCCAATTCTGCTTTTGCCCTCAGCAAGGAGCCAACTGTAAGGCTCCTCTAGGACAGATGCCATATGGAACTGCACCACAAAAGTCAGGGTGTGAAGCCAGCGAGTATTGTTGAGATCAGTCTCAGGGCCAAGATGAAAATGTAATGATGTTGGGAGAAAAAAATGAGAATACTTACTTTTTGCTTTCAGCACAGCACTGACCTACTTCCCTACTCTATTTTCTAGTAAAAAGAACTAGATCAACACAAGAAAATGCAAAATCTTGAGGTTCCTCTGAAGAAGTAAAATATTATTTTAAAAATAATAATTGAGCAGGGGGGGTGGTCAGTGGTAAATTCCTTGCCTCATATGTGTAAGGCACTGCATTGGATCCCTAGTTCTGCAAAAAAAAAAAAAAAAATTAACAGTCATTATTAATTCCAGCACAAAACTCTGAGACCTAATAATTTGCAGGTTTCCACTTGAGACTTGAGAGTTCTAACCTTTGTCCTTGGATAACTTTCTGTAGTATGTTTCCTTTATATAAAAAAGAAAGAACAACAAATATATAAAATGGGTCTGAGAAATACCAAGTGGCCATAAATAATTTTATATACATATATATGCTGAAAAAACACATAAAATCCACCTTCAACATGTCTACTAAACCAAAAGCTATGCAAAGGATGAGGTAAACTGGAGGATTTTTGTCCAAAGACAATCAATTTCTTTGGCATTTATCAATGGTTTTATTACTCCAATGCTGTTTTTCTCCTCTGTGTTTCTTGTATGACCTTTATGAGCGCAAACTCCGTGCTGTGATGGAAATGACCCACATCTGCGCATCCAGTGTGGCAGCCGCTGACCACACGTGGTTACTGATACCTGCAATGTGAATGATGCCAACGAAGAACTGAACTTTTATTTAATTTCATCCGAATAGCTCTATAAATGAGTACACTTGTCCCTCTCCCCCTTTACCATTCATGGCAACTGAGATTCATCTAGACATTATTTCATGGGGAGCTGTTCTCCAAAAGGAGGAAAGCGGGTCAGGAAAATGACATCAGTGCGAGGCAGTCAACTGTAGGTCCACAGGTAGTGGGCCGGAGAGGTGAGTTCTTGTCTTGGCTGAGGATCAGTTTAACTGGGGTCTCCCACAACCTTGTCACCACTCTGCACCTCAG